CACGTAATTTGAATCGACCCTTGTTGTGTAATAGCCTAATAAAATTTTCCAAAGACTTTTGTAACACACTGTATATACTAGTTACATATAAATCAATGTTCAGTCAACCAAAGGCATTAATCATCTATTTCAGAACAAATGAGTAATAAATAGTGTGATCTATTATGAAATATTCGGGTGCGAAAGATAAAGTGCCTTGGTTTAATTAATTACTATGAGGTGTTAATGTTTTCTTGTAATGAAATTATAATATACATTTATCTCTAGCAGGTTTCAGTTTTACATGAAATAATTGATCATTAAATAATTACTTTATAAAAGATGCGATTTTTTCTGTCTTTGCGAACTCCTACAAAGTCAAAATAAATATCTCGAAACAAATAATAAAAGTTTATAAAAACAAATCCATCAAAAATAAAAATACTTAATCTGATTTTATGTATCCATATAACATCCCAGAAAATATGCCTTTTATGGCTTCTCTATTTTTTACATATTAATAAAGTTGTATCTTAAAAAAATTTCGCCCGCTTATTCATTTCACTACGTTCATTCATAATCGGTGTAATTTATTGTTTATCCAATTTTTTTTTTTTAATAAAAAGAATCAAGGATACCATGTAATATGTGGCTGATGCAATAATTGGGATAATATTAAGATAAGGTCTTTTATTGTTGATGAATCCATGGTAAATGAATACAGAAGATTAGAAGCAAAAGCATTAGAACCTTTATCTATCTCTAGGTCATTACAAAATGCATAATTATTGATACTTGTTAAACTAAATATTTTTTTTATTAAATAAAATAAAAATAAAAATACGAAATTTTATTTGCTAAACCCGAACGTGATATGGTGATAATAACCTAATAATAATAAAAAAAAATTTTATAATGGACAATCCAAAATCATCTAGTTAATAATTTAAATAGGGGGATCAGGCCAAAGATCGGTATATGCACAGCCTAAAGTTTCATCAGGTGGATTCCCAATTACAGCAAGGATGTCAAAGGCATCAGGAAATTGTGGGACCGTAAGTAAAATAGGTATACTAAATTGTGTCCCAGCTTTAATTGGACATTGGGGCAGACCATTTTCTCCGCAGGCAGAGGTTGAAAAGGTAATTTTATTTTTAGGATCGTCATCATCGACAAATATCATATAAAGTTTGTCGTTTGCATTGATATCTGTTGGAAGAGGTCCAGAAACTGTAAAGGTATCTTGTTGACCTTCGACGGGAAAAACTGACGTTTCTACATTAAGTCGTGGAAAGGTACCAGCACTAGTATAACATGTACCCCATTCAAGACTAGAATCTCTTTTATCAAGTCGATGCGGCAAAGAATCGACCACAGAAAGCGTAGCAAATAAAATGAACACAAAAATAAGATTTTGATTCATGGTTTTCTCTGTTTTGATTTAAAATTTGATTATTAAAATTCCTGATCGTATTTATATGTATATGCCATGATCAGCAATTATTATCAGATTATTGAAAAATGAAATTAGAAAGATAATAATATAGTTTTTTATTAAAATTAATTTTTTTTTCACTGATCGCCATAACTAACTCTTCCATACAAAATTTCGGACGTAATGCTATACTAGAAATTCTTATAATGCGATATAAAAAACTGGTAGAGTTTTGCGCATACCGTGTCTTGTATCACATTCTATAAAATAAATTTTAGTTTTACTTACAGATATTGATATAAAATAAATATTTTTAATTTACACAAATTCCAATTTTATTTTGGAGAAAAATTCTTATTTTTAACGAGGGGCAAAGCCTCCTTGCTACGCAATAAAAATAATTTTAAGCATCAAATAAAGTTATAAAACATTTTACATATAACAAAAAAAAATTTTTATAGATATAAATAAGAATATTTTGTTTTTTTAATTCGGGTTTTAAAATTATCATTTTGCGTATACTTCATCCGAGCCAACTATAAAAACTGGTTCAAGTAGAAGGTCTTTGAATCTTTCTTTGATATGTGTCAGAATAAGATACGTGACTCAGGTACTTTTATTAACACTTTCAGCATCTTTTTCAGTACACATTGATAACCATAGTATATGTGTATTAATTTCCCGCCCTTATAGTTATGACCGTAATGAAGTAAATTTTTATTTATAACGCAAAAAAATTATTAATAAAATTATAAGTATTTCGTTTATTTTTTAAGTTCGGGTTTTTAAATGAAACATTATGTGAGTGTGTCTACCGATTAATATGCGCTGATTAAACGATTTGATTTTTGTAAGTTTTACCGCTATTTAAATCATAATAATAACCTTTATCATCATCGGAAAATGTTATATTCATCATCTTCTTCCTCATTATCAGAGAAATTCCCATTATTGTCCTCATTATCGTTATTATCATTAACGTCCTCGTCATAAGAACAATTCTCATCCTCACCACCATCAGAGGATTCCAAGTTAGAATTTAAAGAATCATCTGGTATACTTACCTCTTCCAGTAAAGATTCATTTATCTTATCAATCGAATTAGAGAGGAAGTGGATGTAATGATTGCCTCTTTAGTTCCCGATTGGTCACGTGTGCATTAAGAATTCTTCACGCCGAACAATTTTTGAGATTTTTGAATAAATATTTATAATATTTTGAATTTGTGTACCGGTTAAACTAGAAATAACATCAACACTATATGTAATATACTTGATTTTATCTATTCCTACTCCTTTGAATAATGTGTTGATAATTTTAGCCATTTTAAGTCATATTGCACAAATACTCTCTTAATTCCAAGTAGATATTGCATCATTTCATCATAAATTTGTGTTCTTGCCATTAGATCACCAATATTTTTTTCTGAACTAAGATTTGAAACCTTTTTCATATTCCTCACTATAATAATATCATTATAATTTTTCTTTTTATTCAGTTTTTTCAGCCTTACCAAATAAATAAGTCAAATGAAATATGGACTCTAGAATTAGATCTATATCAACAGGAATATTCAAAATTTGTTTAATGAAGATAGAATTCAATGGAGTTTCTTTAGATTTTGTAAAGACTTCATCAGGAAATTTTTTCTAGTGAAAACTTTCAAAAGTTAATGTTAACATAAGTATTTTGCTGTTTTTTGATATGTTATCTTTCAAAGGTCTTTACTAACTTTTGAAGGTTATCAATTTTGATATTTTTACATGGCAAAATTTTGTGAATATTATTGTTTTCATAGTAAATTCATATTGATAACTTTTGAAGATTATTGATTTTGATATTTTCATGTGTGAAATTTTACAAATATTATTATTTTCGTAGTAAATTCATATTGATAACCTTCGAAAGTTATCGATTTTGATATCTTCATGTGTAAAATTTTTGTAAATATTATTATTTTTGTAGTAATTTCATATCAATAACCTTTGTTTATATTAGATATTCATAATATATCATTTTGATGGTTATCACTTGCATTTATATTGTTACATTTTTCAATCAACATTGTACTGTCAACGATATCTTTCAAAGTTTATCATAACAATTTTAATTAATATTGTATTGTCTAGAGATAGTTAAATTAATGGGGTGAACTACTTATAGTTACACAATTGTATTAGATTTGAATTTAACATATATGTTATACAATAAATTAACATTATAGAAAATAATTTTTTTTTGTGAACAAAATGTCATACATTTATTTTTAAACAGCCAATCTCAAAAGTAAAGGTCTTTTATGCTAATTCTATATGGCAAAGTGTTTTTATTTAAATTGACCCAGTATTGAGTTACATATTTTATTTTTATTTATAAATTTATTAAATTGAAATTAACTTTATTAAATTGAAATTAATGATGAAAATTTAAAATACTTTTTTTTTTCTTTTGAATAATTTAATATATAAAAATATAATCTTTAGTTAAGGCTTCATTTAAAAAAGGTATTTCTTTTTTTAAATGATTCAAAATTAAAGGTATTAAGTCTTTCTTTTTTTTTGTTTTTTGAATTATCTCTAAAGGCCCAAAGTAATCATTTTAATTTATTCATTAAAAATATTTTAGAGAATTTGTCCTCAACATTTTCTAAATGTGTTCAAATTTGAATTTGCTTCAATCCAAGTATAAGATCCTTTGAAATATTGGATTTTTTTATTAATGTTAATTTATTTTCAATTTTTTTTATATCATTTTTCATAACTTTAAGATTCTCTTGAAGATTTGAAATTCCTTTTTCAGGAGTAAGTTCATTAAACTTTCTCTAGAATTTTTGTCTACTTCTCATATAGATAGAAATAATTTACTCATAGAGAAATTTCTTGGTTTCTTAAGTTAATTCATGTTTTTCAGTATTTGTAAAGTTATGCATATAGAGTATTTGACCAGAAATATTAAAGATTGTAATAAAAGATTCTCACAAAAATAAATTACATAATAAACTATTATGTATATATAAAAGAATATTGGAATCAAGTTCCTTATGTTTTTCAAATAATAATAATACTAGTGATTCCAATTTATATATAATATCTAAGAAATCTTGACTAGGTATCACATTTGTTATCTGAGATCATACATCTTATTTATATACAATCTGTTCTGAGCTTAGAACCTTAAGATGAGCACACATAACTTCGAATTTAGGATGTGATTTCATTATATTGTCACTTTGATTAGCTTATAAATAACCTATCCAATGATATAAGAAAATTTTGATGTCTCAGTTGGTTCTAAAATAATTGTTTCATTTGGAATAAAATGGGAATCTACAAAAAGATAATTGTTCGAATCATTTTGTATTGTATTTTTATTAAATGTATACTTGATTACTTTTTGTAAAAGCAAATATGCAACAAGTCTTTGAATCGAAGAACCATTTAAATTAGTTATTGCAAGAAAATCCTTATATCAAATTCCAGAACATTAATAATTATTTATACAAATTTCAAGGTGAGAGCTCCATTTTGTTAACCATTGAACTCCTATTTTCTTCAGAATTATCTCACAAGTTATTTTTTTAATTATATCTTTCCACTTTTCCAATAATTCATTGATGAAATCCTGATAAAGAATAGTTTCTATAAGATCATACATTTCTTTTTGAAGTTGCAAAACTTTAAAGTTTTCAGAATTAACATTTTCATTATATAAATTTAATAAAATATCAATTCTTCCCATAATTAGATTTTCTAATAGAAGGTCTTCAAAGATAGTATGAGAGAAAGGCAATAATTGTATCAGTCTGATATGATGTTCTTGATTATTTTCTTTATTTAAAAATTTTATTTTATTTTTTTGATGGTTACTGATATAAATAGATAAAATATTTTAAAAAACAAAGATTAATATAATAATTAATTTTATAGCTGTGAATACAATTAAATCGATTATATAATTATAACAATTAAATTAATTATATACTGTGACATAATTAAATTAATTATAAATTAATTATATATCACGACACAATTAAATCAATTATAAATACCGTGACATAATTAAATCAATTATATGATTATAACAATTAAATTAATTATATACCGTGACACAATTAAATCAATTATATAATCATAACAATTAAATTAATTATATATCACGACACAATTGAATAAATTATATAATCTGCAACACAATTAAATTAATTATATACCACGACACAATTAAATCAATTATATAATCATAATAATTAAATTAATTATAGCCATGATATAATTAATTCAATTAAATAACTGTGATACAATTAAATTAATAGCCATAACAATTAAAATATTATATGTTTATTATTATGAATAAAACAATAATAAATTTTTAATTAAATATTTTCTTGCTAAAGTGGTAATTTCAGTTCCAATACGATTAGTACTTCCATAATTAATACTTTTTACCTCTCTAGAAAATAATGATGATAATTGATATTTGTTTAAAGAATACCCATAAGATTTATATGTGTGTGTAGAAGAATCTTTACCAAGTTCACAGATTGTACCAAAAAGTCCTTTAAGCATATCTTGAGAAATGCGTTTAGATTAAATTATAGATCTGGGATATTTTTTTAATAAAAAATCCAGCATTCCAATAAAACCATTGATAGACAAAATTAAGTCAAATTGATACTGTGATGAGATCCATGTCTTTGGTCCTAATTTCTGTTTATCACCATATATAAATCAATTACAAATTTCTTTTAAGATATGAAGACATTCATCATCTAATGATTGGAAATTAATTTGCTATGCATTATTTGTCTATATTTTCATGAATATTTTATGAAATCCTTAAAAAAAAATATTCAAAAAATTCAAATTAATTTTTTGCTTTTTAAAAGTATTTAATAAAAAAAAAATACTTTTGTTCCTTTGGAAATTTCTTTTAATTTTTCAATGGATTCTAATACATCTTCTACTTCTTTTGATAAAGTATGTTCTGCAAAATCAACTCGTATTTTACTCCATGATATAAGCCATATATGTCATTTGGTAAATTTTGTTGCTTTTGCTGTTATATGTTATATTATATGTTCATATACACCTTTAATATGTCTCCAACTAATTTCTTTTCCATTAAACATTATTTCTCAAGTATTTTTTTCACCAGTGTGACTTTTTGTCAAATTGTTTCTAAGTTTTTTAAATAAATGTGTTGAGTCACTAATAAAAAACCAATTCTCACCAGTTATAGGATTTATTGTTTTGTGATTTGCTAAAAGTTCTTGAGTATTATATAATGGCTAAAGAAAACCATTACAATGTTGAATTATAATTTTTCATTGTTGCATAAGCTCAGAAATTTCTATAACTAATTCTATTAAATCTTGATTGATAATCTTTCCTAAATACCATTGATTATCATTTGGATTTTTAAACTCACACATGTCATTAATCTTCTATTCTAATTTTGATGGCATCGGAAGACGAATAAATATTCTTTCAATATTAATTGGTTCAGAATTATTATTGTCAAGTGGAATTACAATAAATTTTGTTTTCTCAAAATTGCTACTTAAAATTTTTGCTACATGAAAAGATTTCTTATCTTACTTAAAATTAACTTTCACAATATCTCCAAGAGTCTATTTTGATACATACCAATCAAAACTTTTTATATGGGATCTATTTTCTCCCACTCTATCACATAATGAACCTAACATATGTATCTTTATATATTCTAATTTTGCTACTAGTTCAAAAATTAAAGTATTTAAATTATGCACTATTATATTATTAATTTCATAGTAAGATATGGGAAATGAAAAGTTATGTATTATTGAGTATCAAATGAATTGATGCACTTGTGTTACAAGGTTATATTTTTGTCTATTAGGTAATACACAATCAGGTTTGAAATTATTTTCTATTGTTATTGACTTTATTTTGTGTTTATACTGTAATGCAAATTTTTGATATTTGTCTATTACATTTTCAAAGTCTAAATAACCAACATAACAATTTTTACATTGGTTCCATAACAATCCTTTATAATTAAAAAATAAAATGTTATTATAAAATAAATAAATTTAAAAAATAATCAAATTAAAAAATAATTAAATTAAAAAATATAAAATTAAAAAATAAATATAAATTTTTTTTACCTTTTTGAATCTTAAAAGAATCATGTGAGAAAATCCTATCTTTTTATATCCTCAAACATTATTTATTAATAAATTAGATAATAATTGAGATGCAATTTTATCCTGCTATCTCAAATTTTGTTTATATTTGTTTATATAACTTTTTAATATGGAAATTGATGATAAACACATTATTATTTTCATAGCATTATAAGCTGTGGAACCAGATCTGCTATAAACTGATATTGTCCATCTTAAAAACCTAAAAAAAAATATTATTTTTAATTGAAAAAGTTATTTTTTTTTTAAAAAAATTTTTTTTTTAATAAATCCTATATAGGATAATATCTGATTCCTTTTGATTTTCCAATTTGAATACAAATAAGTTCTTGAAATATAGGGTACAAATTTGAAATCGCTATTTTTTTACTATTTACTTTTTCAGAAACAACTTGAGTAATATTTGCCATTTCAATAGAAATTTCTTCTTCTTCATTTTTAATTTTTTTATTAAGACATTCTTTTAGATTGATAATTATTTCTTTTTGCTCTTTTATTACTAATCTTTGCTGATTAACTTTTTCAATAAGTATTTCTTTAGATGTATATATTGTTTTTGTTGAATTTACTTCAGTTAAAATTCTTTGCTAAATTTGTTGCAAAGTTTTTTTTAACTTAAAACAATTTTCACATATAAAATTCTCTTTTACTACTAGTGTACAATCTACTCGTCTATATATTTATCCATTTTTTTCCATAAAAGCAAATGGAGTATGATCTTTTTCATCACGAACTAATTGAGTACCACGAATCTGTATTACATCTTCAAAACCTTTAATTAAATTAAAATTTTTAATTAATTTTAAAATATACAATAAAATAATTTATAAAAAAAAATAAAA